AGGACATATAAAATGATGGGACAGGTGCATCTGTGTAAAAATAAACGGTTTCAAGTTGTTATCACCTTGGTTTTTTTTTTTTAACAACCATTTGTGACTTTCTTATTGACTTCCTCCCGTATATGTGGAAAACATTATTTAAAAATGTAGATGGATATATTTTTTATGAATTTATTGGTTGTGAAAGGTTGCTCTTTGGAAAGGGGGGGGGATTTTTTTTTGGGGTGGGGTTGCATCACTGCACGAAGTCTATTGCTGTCTCTTGCCATGAACAGTCCTAATTTGTAACATTATATTGCCTGGAATTCTTCTTTTGTGTCTGGCTTTAAAAGGGTGATTGGCATGTTATATTGTGGTTGACAGATAGGCTGCAGTATTCGCCACTTTAAGTCTCCAACACATCCCGTTTTCAATAAACCCCTGATAAGTCACCTTTTTGCAACATGCTTGTTGTGGGGGGAAAGGGGGAGGTCAGTTGGTTCATCCTGTTTTCCTCATAGGGCCTGGTGGGTAGGGCCCTGGAACTCACATTAAGATACTGTTTGGAATTTAAAAAACATCCTCACTACATTAAAATCGGCTCTCCTCCGAACTTCTACCCCCGCAGTATTGCGGCCTGAAATATCCGTTCCGGGCGCAGTCCAATTAAAAATACAGACTTGTCTGAGTTCCCGCCAAGGAACAAATTGCGACAAAACTAGGAGTACCTTACAATGTCACGAGACGCAACATTGCAGACAATAAAAGCGACTGGTGACAATGTCGAGCGTTTTCTGCAGACGATACTAGCAGACGATAAAAGCTACCGTTGACAATTTCGAGACATTACAGAGGATGAAAGCGATATGGCGGGTAGACCACGCGCTCCCACGCAGATTAGCAATACTGTTCTTCCGATTGAGGATTTAGCAGTGGTAGATGCGTGGCGGCGCGGATGGGGGGGGCTAAACTAGGTGCCTGCGACTCATGAGCAAAGTAATTGGAGGAAGTTGCAGGAAATGTGGTAGCTGCCGCTCGTGAGTCCCAGCCATCTAGTTTAGCCTCTATCCGCGCCGCATGTAGGGGCGTGGGGGATACTGTCTGCGGTGAGGCATAGTCACAGAAACAGGTCCGCAAGTAACATATCGCTGAGACCCTGTTAGAGTATTTGTTTCGTTTTTCCGAGCCAATCCTAGATTTGCCACAATTTGTTCGTCGGCAGAAATTTCGACAATGGAAAGTGTCAACGGTCGCTATTATTATCATCTGCAGTGTTGCGTAATTGTCAGGTAATCAGAAACAGGTCTGCAAGTAACATATCGCTGAGACCCTGTCAGAGCATTTGTTTCGTTATATGGAGCCGGCATATTTTTAATTGGACTGCGCCCAGAACGGATATTTCAGGCCGCAGTACTGCGGAGGTAGAAGTTTGGACGAGAGCCTTAAAATCTGTTACAGTAACTTCCCTTTCTCTACCACATTGTCCCCAGCCTATAGTGGTCATTCCTAAATTCTGTGATTTTTATTTCTGTTTAAACTCTGATTACTGCTGCCTGAACATATGTATATAATTATTGTTTTGGGGAATATACAAATGGCCATATCATTATGGTATACAAATTTGCAGGACTTCAGGAGCCTCTCTTGGCAGTGGTGAAACGTTGCAAGCTAGCTTGGTTTGGGCTATGTGTTGAAACATGATTCGATTGCAAGAACATTGGGAGGTAGTGGAAGAAGAAAGCAAAGAAGAACCTGGAATGACAACATTAAGAAATGGACAGGACTAAGTTATCATACACTTAATCGAGCAGAAGACAAGAGAAAGATGGTGGATTTCATGTGCTAGTGCTTCCATTAATACACCTCCATGACCTTAACAGGTCAAGGGTTAAGTTATGATATGGTATGCTGTACATAGTGGGTAATTGTTGGTTATGTAAATGTTATTTTTCACTAAACTTTGAAAACTTGAGAGCGAAGTAAATATTACACAAATGTGTGTTGAAATCAGACACCTTGGATTTTGACTTGGGGGCTTAGTGAAGTATAACTCTCTCGCTCAAGAGAGCAACAAAGAAGATGATTGTTTAAAATCTGCATTTGATTATTTGTATTTTGTATGAATTTATGCGCTATATCGCTCAGTTTCTGCTGTCAAAGTACAGAAGCAGAGGAGTGCATTTAAATTGTATTTAATTATTTTATGCAATGGGGAACTGAATTTTTGCTTTCATCTTTCAAATACTTGAAAAGCTGCTCAAAAAATGTTATGAGTAAAATACAGCATAATAACCGCGTTTGGTTTGGTGCTAAATTGGTGGTATATATTTTACAAGCCTTGTGGTTCATTTAATACAGAGAAGGAAGGATCCTCATTAAATATATTGTAAAAATTACTGTGATATGGGAATCAGGATGTTATTTGTCTTTTTCTGCTTCATTGTTTGTCCAAGTGATATAAATACATTGTGCCATTTTTTACAGCATAGCTGTAATATTTGCGCTTTTTAGCCAATACATCTGACTGCTTCTGGCATTTATTATCTGGCTTAGTCTCCCCGGTTAGTTTCATGGCAGTAAATCAGCACCAATGGCCAGACTGCAACAACAGGTTAAAAGGGGTGTGGTCAGAAGAGCACTATGCAGGAAGTCAAAGAAGAATAAGAAACCAGCAGAGAATGTGTCGTGAACCGTTACGCCCTGCAATATTCACTAAGGGGGGGATCCGAGCACTTATGGACCGAATGGTTCAATGTGCATGCAGTGAGAATAATCTGTCGACTATGTCTAATGACATACCATAATACTGCATGACAGCTTCGGAGTCACAATGTGTTAACCTGCTTTGTTGGACACTTTGTAGCAATTGTTTAGTTGTCATTTTAGCAAAAGGTAAATACATTAACGTCTCTTAGTCTAAACACTGCTACTTGTTCTTACCTGACAATAAGGCACATGATAAAAAGAAACAAATTGGTATAAACAGCTTTATTGTTTCCAGCATATTATTAAAAACATCCTCCTTACATACCATACTGTGTTTTAGATCCCAATTAAAAGTATAATTATGCCTTAACAACATCAGAATGAATATTTAAGGAATATTTGTTCATCATATGTAGCAGTGACACAGTAGCTAGGAACTTTGCTTGTTGATACAGTGGTGCAGGGCTCATCCTAAGGTAGGCAGGGTTTGTTTCTTCTGCTTCTTCTTCTTTAGTCCTCTTCTGCTTTTCAGCATCAAAGCCTTAGGTTTTGAAGAGACATATCTTGGTGTGTTGTGTAGGTCCTAGAATAAACTGCCTCAGATTTCCGGTCTGTCCATCACCTGCATGGGTGACCTCTAGGTTGCTTCCATTTATCTGACAAAGCTCCTTGTGGTGCACTGTCCTGTGGTAGTCTTGATAATTAGGAATGTGTCTTCATGATTTAAACTGGCTGTGAAAGACCCCCTATTAGTAACATCATCTCATGTTGGAAACCCGAGTTCAACTGTGATGGAAGTATTTTTTTTTTTTGTAGGGGGCAAAGTTAAACATCCTAACCTGCACAGTCTGTGGCAACAGCACTAGCCAGGCGGCCCTAAATCCTCAGGCTCAATCAAGTCCTTCCCCCCCCCCCCTCTACACCACACAAAAAGCTGGTAAAACCGACAGTTTCTTTTCAGTAACAACTGAAAGTATATCACTGGTACTCACTACATATATTAACTACAGGTAGGTTAATATAAAAGACTCCATGTATTATGAATATACAAATAGACCTATGACCCCTCTGTAATTGTGGTCTCAAACCTATATATATTATATACCCACAGCATTAGACAGGCTTAAACGAATGAAATAGGTTATTAAGACAAATTACAATGGCTAACATTCAGAGTAAAAATACATGAACAAAAGCAGTTCCCGCAGTCTAAAACATCAGATGGCAAGACAAAGAAGACCCTTGATTCTGTTGTCCCCAACAAAACTGGCTTAACCAGCAGTTTCACAAAGTGGAGTGAAAGACACTTTTTACGCCAGTTTGCATAAGATACTAGACTTCATGTTTTATAGACCAATCGGCACTCAGTGGTGATGTGGTCAACATATCATCTGCAATCTTTACCTCTCAGGACATTTTCTCGTACACGTTTTAGGCTGAGCTGACCTGGGAGCCAAGGTTATTTCTGAAGAAAATAATGCTTCTATGTGGATTTGAACCTAAGACTTTCAGGCTGTTAGGTAAGCATCTAGAAACTATGCCACCCTGGCTTCCTAACTGAACAGAGACAAACCATAAAAGACCATGAACTCAATCACCTAACTGATGCTGGCTAAATTCTCTGCCCAAGAATATTCTATGCCAAGACTGGCTAATAGTGCTTCCCTGAAAATATGACCCTACCCCCAAAATATAAGCCCTGGATAAGATCGTCGCTATTTTCAGGCAAACATGGTAGTAGACAAAAAAAATCTGGCCATCATAACTTGTGATTATAAACAACAATGGCTGCTACAAGAGTGGGTGTGAGATCTATTTTTTTACTGCTTTTTCCTCAAAAGCTGTTTTAGACTAACCTCTGTACGCAATATTTAACCCTTTGAAAATAAAATGTATATTTCTTGACCAAGTCAAAACACCCTCAAGTATCTTTATGCTGTGACCAAAGTAACCTGATTACCTGTTTTTTTAAACCCCGCTATTGGTATCTCAAAACAACAAACAAAAGTCAAATCCCCTAGATACATTAAAAATGTACATCAATGGTGTAAATATGACAGCAATGTAAAAAAAAAAAAAAAAATTCTGAAAAGATGTTTATAAATTCTGTCAAGCATGACCTGTTGGCCACATTTTTTCACGGTAAATAATTAACATTGAAACAAAACTTATGTCAAAGTATAATATGGCACTACAAAAAAAAAAAATAGCCACCATTAAACAACATGAGCAGCATCCAACAATAAAATCATAGTACAAAGTTCTTCGCCTTTTGAATCCGCATGATCCCAAATCAAGAATCCAAAATGAACTGTTTATTTCTGTGCTTTCTTGGCAGCCTTCATTGCCTGTTTGGCTTGCTTCAGCTCCTGTTTCATTTTCTTCATCTGCATTTTGGCCATCATCCTAGACATCACGTGGTAGACATGAGGTGGGATCTGCTCGTTGCTGGCTGCTCCTTCTGTGCTGGAGGCCGTCTTCCCATCCCACTGCCACAAAGCTTCAAAAGCCCACTGGCGAAATCCTGGATTTGTCTGGAAAGAAGAAAAAAAGAGTTGATCTAGTTTTAAAACAGAGATACTTTCTACAAGAATCAGTGGATTTTAATAATACAAGTAAGGGGACTGCATGGTCTCGAGGCATGGTGTCCGCCTCAAGTGCTAGAGGTCCCGGGTTCAAGCCCCCAGTGAAGGCTAGGATTTTTTCACGTAGACTTTTAGTAATGTCCTCCCTGGTCTCTGGGTAGTAGGACCGGACGCCAGTGTGTATTGTTGCGCACGTTAAAAAAAAATACCTTTGCAGTTGGAAATCGAAAAGAGTAGCCTAATTGCATTGTCCAGGCTAAATTTGGAGTTTAAAATCTACCTAAAAAGTATCTCAGGATCCTCGCCAGTGCAACAGAGTTCGTGCACTGCACTGAGATTCTTCAGACTCAGGCTTGAGTTAGAAAAAGAAAAGAGCAATTATGGGTTACACCCGTGTGCCATGATGTTGATCCGTTACATAAACAAAATAAGTCAGTAAGGCAAGCGGCACATCAGACATGATTCTAGCCTTATATTTTTTATAATTCTAGCCATATATTTTTTATAATTCTATATTTTTAAAAACCAATCGACACTCGAAGGGTGATTTGATCAAGTCCGCTGGGTGCTTTTACGTCCCAGAACATTTTCCTGGTACCTAGTTTAGGCTGGGTCAACCTGGGAGTAAAAGTCAGTTTTTTTCTTCCAAATCTGCCTAGCTGAGATTCTAACCCAATACCTCTGGACTGGCAAACAAGCACCTGTCACTGCCTTTTTTTATAATGGAAGGTTGATTTATTGCATGAAGAGATGTGCTTGAAAATTTGTGTTGTGGTTTTCAACTAGGCTGTAATATCTGTACCTTATGGTAGACTGAGAGGGTCGCCATGGCCGAGCGGCTAGACGCTCGCCGCAGATCGGAAGGTCGTGGGTACGCTCCCTGGCGGAGCCGGACTATTTTCAAAAATAACCTTGGCTCCCAGGTCGACCCAGCCTTGAGTGGGTACCGGGTGCAGTCCTGGGAAGTAGAGGCGGCCAGCGTGATGCTGACCACATCACCCATATTGTGCCGATTGGTCTATAAAAATATAGGTCTAGCCCTATATGCCCTATACGTCTAAAGGCATGGAAAAGGGTCCTTTACTTTTTTTTTAATGGTAGACTGAGATATCAGAGGGTATTTCAGTCAACCAGTCAGGGGTCATTTCAGTCAATCAGGCAGTAGCCATTTCCACAAAGAATTTTGGCTGCAGTTGATCTCTGACACTTGATTTTCGTTCTCGATGTTCACTCTCTCTTAGACTGTTATCCATCTCTTGATATTACTCTCCCACTTGTTTCACTTTATGCCGTTGTCTTGCTTGCCTTTTTATCCTCCAGTATTGTGTTTACAAGTTATGTCTTTTAATATGGCCACAATATTTCACTTGTCATTATTTATTTATTTACATAAATTTCTATAAGCCAAATAAATAAATAATTACTTCATGCATTTTATGCACAAAACTCTACTGTTCAGTGTAACATATTCTTAACACAAAATCTATTGTACAAACTAGTGCTCTATTCATTTAAAAAGTGTTCAGACCACTCAATGTTAAATGTGATAATTCACCTTTTTATTGAAGAGCGCCCCTTCAAAATCACCAAATGCAGAGTTATCTCTTCTTGGCATCCTTTCTCTGGCCACACCCTGGGTGCTGGGATCAAAGTGCACATTTCTGGTGCCATTTTCATCCCCTTCCAAGCGAAGTTTCTTCAGTGAGCTTTCCACTAATTTTTCTGAGGACAGAAGCAAAATATATGAACTGAATAAATTATATGCCATGTGAATAAATGATAATGATTTTATTGAATGATATACAGCTTGAATTAATGATATACAGCTTGAATGAATGATAATCATGACAGTCTTCAACTCCTTGTGGGATAGAATTTTTAGTTATTTTGAAGCCCCACCCTGGCTTTTGCTTGGGGCCTTAAATAAAGAGGGGCCTGAAATATGACCTAACGGCTGAACAGGGTTTCCGGGACCTCTCCACGGATGATCCTCATCCGCATGGTGGTACTTTGTGTCACCGGGTGTTTATCATTTGTGTGACGAACTGGTGGAGTACAACTGACATACGTAATCGTGACAAGGAGTTATGTATAACTTGAACGAATGATAATGATTTCAATAAATCATATGTAGCCTGAATGAATTATAACGTTTTTAATGAATAATATGTGTCTTAAATGACTAAAATATGACTTAAATGACTAAAATATGACTTAAATGACTAAAATATGACTTAAATGACTAAAATATGACTTAAATGACTAAAATATGACTTAAATGACTAAAATATTAAATTATCTTCTCTTCAGCTATCTTACAAGAGTTGCACTAGTTTAGAGGCTAGACAAACAGCTGCTTGCATGAATATTTTCAGCCTGAATTTACATCGTGAAAGATTCATTTTTTAAAACTAACCTTGACTCCCAGGTCAACCCAACCTAAACTGGGTGCCAGGTAATGTTCTGGGAAGTAAAGGTGGCCACTGATGTGTTAGACACATCACCTATTGAGTGCCAGTTGGTCTATGAAAATATGTCCAGCACCAAATGTCCATTGTGCCACTGCCGTAAAAAAGTTTTTTTTTACCTTTTACTACTTCTTCTTCTTCGCGGTCACCAGCTGCAAACTCTGGTGGAAAGTTCTGGTTGTTCATCCACTTGTGGACTGCAGTCCTGTTCCAAAACCTAAGTGTTGCGTGTGCATCCGTTTTACAGATCTGACTCATTTGTGTGCAGACTGCTGGTTCCTTGCCTCTCAGGCAGATGCACTTAATTAGTCAACTCTTACGACATGCTTTTGGGTAGGCAGTGGGTCTATTCTTGTTTTTCCTATAATAGGGCCCTGGAACCCACACGGGGATTTACCTTTTAATGTAAATACAGCAATAGAATGGCTTTCCAAATCACTGTAAATGATAGATATAATGAGGAGTTGACGACTTCACACTCCTGTTTCTTCTTCTTCTGTAATTGCACACTAAAATGGAAGCTCTTTGTTTTGGTTCACAACTAGGCTTTGTGTTATCTAAGTCTTTCGGTCCAAAAGAACGAAATTGAGAAAACTCTTAATTTTTCGCCATTATGACCTGTCTTTTGCAGGGGCCAGTGGGTATATTTCTTTATTTCCCTCAAAACAAACATTTATTACAATAGTCATCCCCATGTGAGATGCAATTTTTTGATATTTGAAGCCCCACTCTGGCTTTTGCCGGGGGCCCTGAATATAGCCGGGCCATATAAATATATGGCCTCATGGCTGAAAGGGGTTTTTGGGACCTCTCCACGGGTAAACCTCATCCGCATGGTGGCACTTTGTGTCACCAGGTGTTTGTCGCTTGTGTGATGTCCTGGTGGGGTGCAACTAACTACCTACCTACCTCAAAACAGTCCCCAGAACTCACACAAGAACTTCAATGAGAAGAAAAAAGCTAAGTTATTTTATTTAGTTTTATCACTGTCCAGGTCATGTATGCTGATGAAAGCTTTTTAGCCAAAACGTTAAGTTTGTGATTGTGTTTTATTGGGAAGCTGACCAGTTCTACTTATCAGGATTAATTTTTTTTTTCTTAAACCGTAATTCCCCAAGTATAAGGTGATCCTTTGTATAAGATGCACCTTGATTTTGGGACCGTAAAGTTTTAAAATAAAAAGCTTGGTTACATAAAGATTTGCTACCAACGTATAATACTCACACTGTTTTTAGATCATGTATTTTGGAAAAATAAGTGCATCCTATACTTGAGGGGAAAACGGTAATTGTGAACATATATACTGAGAGAAAAAAAAATGTAGAAATACTAAGTAGTAATGTAAACAATGATATCCTGCTCAACCCAACTAGGTCATATAACTGGAATATATATCACAACTAGGTCATATAACTGGGATATATATCACACCCAGGTCAACCCAACTAGGTCATATTTAGTTATGGTTATTTATGCTTGTCAGTTATTTTTTAGTTGATACTGCATAGATTATGTATTAAAAGTTGATACTGCATAGATTATGCATTAATAGATGATGCAAAGATTATGTATCAAAAGTTGATATTGTTTGGATTATGTATTAATGGTAACATATTGGATTACTGACTGTTCAATTTAATATATTTCAAGCGTGCTGTTTAACTAACTGTGATAACCATACTGTGTAATTTAACAAAGAAATCTATGAAGAAATGTATCACAGACTTACCAGCTGTGTCCACATCAGATGTTGGCTTTGGGGCATCCTCATCACTGCTGGATAGAACCAGTTCATCAGCACTGCTGCCTTTCTCCTGATCCCGCAGCCACTTGTGCTGAAAAGCTTGCAGCCACTTCTGGTACTGGTTGGCAGTGTCCACTTCCTTTGCTACCCCACTGCCGTAACGACGCCAGAGGAAGCATTTCACCCACTTGCGGAAATTCTTGGGGACAGTATCCTGTTGAAAGGATAAAATTCCAGTGTTAAAATATGGCTTGTATAAAGTTAAATTTATCACAGGTATGTCCTTTGCGGTTTTTTCTGTGCAGTTGGCTCCCTAACAAAGTTAGTTGTTTATCCTTTAAAGGACCTTGCAGAACCAATGCCAGCATTTTTTTGTTTTTTGACTGTTGCAGTTTTTCTATGCAAATTTTACAATCAGTAGTTTGCGGCTGCTTTCTGAGCGGTCAGCTCTCGGTACCTCTGTCAAAACCAACGCAAGACAAATCGTCTGCAACTAGGATCGAACCCGCACCCCTGCATTACGAAGCACATTTGCAACGCCTAAGCCACAGATGCCAACGTCCTAACAAGCACATTGTAAATGGCGACTAACTAGGAATTGATTGGAATCAGGCATACTGGGCCGAAATGTGATAGCATCATATGCCCGAGACACTTCAAAGCATGATGGGAGTCTCTTTTTTTTCTTTCTTTATTAGAGAATGAAAGTTTTGGAGAATTGTGATCCAGCTGTAATTACATTTGATGGTGACAATTATGATAATAAACCATCCACATTATCCTTATTTTTTCTCAAAATAACTGAATTCCTTTGAAAAAATGTATTATAAAACAAAGACAAACGTTACATACCTTGAACTCTCCCATTCCTCCTTTTTCAATCTGCACTTTCTCAGTGGTCTCCCCTCTCCACAGGTGCCATCTTGCCAGGAATTTGCGCATCCATCGGACATAGTCATTGGGGATGGTTATGTCTCCTTTAGCCGTCTCTTTCTCTGTGTCTTCACTCTCGCTGGAGACAGCTCCATGGTTGCCACTTTTCGGGTCGGGAATGTTGTGCTCCTGGCGCCAGTCCTTGATGAAAATTTTGGCCCACATACGATGCATCATCGGAACTGAGACCTGCATGAAAGATGTCAATCACATTATGTAAAAATCATGATCGTTTGAATATTTTTTAACAAAGATTTACTCTTTCAGAAGCAGAAAAAACTATATCACAAAATGTTTACTGACTTGACACATAGCAAAAATTTCTTGGGGCAGCTCTATTCAATTAAGTTTACTCGGGTGCCAAAATGTCGAAAAATTGAGTGTCATCATGGGCCAGATGCCTGAGCCTCAGGTAGAAAGATTATTGATACAACTGGCACTGATTCGCAGGCCATTAATGGCACGGGAATGCAGGTGAGTCTAGCCATTACGGGTGCCCCAATTATAATTTGGAGGCTGTACAGGGCATCTGGTATTTACCCCTACTGGCTTGCCATCCAGAATCAAATTCTGTAACCTCAGGGCTGTCAAACGTTGAGGCAGCAGCTCAACTGTAGAGGGGGAAAAATTGTGGGAAGGGTAGAATTTTTTCTGTTATGTTTACCGTTATGTTTACCATCTCCGAATTGTTACGGGAGCACCAGAACCTGGGGCTTAGCTGGACTGTCTGATAGGAGCACCAGAATCTGTGGGCTTAGGCAGACTGTCTGATAGGAGCATCAGAATCTGTGGGCTTAGGCAGACTGTCTGATAGGAGCATCAGAATCTGTGGGCTTAGGCAGACTGTCTGATAGGAGCATCAGAATCTGTGGGCTTAGGCAGACTGTCTGATGGGAGCACCAGAAACTGGGGGCTTAGGGGGACTGTCTGATGGGAGAATCAGAATCTGTGGGCTTAGGCAGACTGTCTGATAGGAGCATCAGAATCTGTGGGCTTAGGCAGACTGTCTGATAGGAGCATCAGAATCTGGGAGCTTAGGCGGACTGTCTGATGGGAGCACCAGAAACTGGGGGCTTAGGGGGACTGTCTGATGGGAGCACTAGAAACTGAGGGCTTTGGCAGACTGTCTGATAGGAGCATCAGAATCTGGGGGCTTAGGCGGACTGTATGATGTTAGCACCAGAAACTGGGGGCTTAGGCGGACTGTCTGATGGGAGCACCAGAAACTGATGGCTTAGGCAGACTGTATGATAGGAGCATCAGAATCTGAGGGCTTGGGCGGACTGTCTGATAGGAGCATCAGAATCTGGGTGCTTCGGTGGACTGTCTGATAGGAGCACCAGAAACTGGGGGCTTAGGCAGACTCTTAACAGAGGCACTATAACCTAGAGGATCAGACGATTTGAAAGCCCCCCCCCCCCTCCTCACCCCACCAATGATTTTTCTAAAAATAAACTATCTGTACGGTGCCTAACAGCCCCCTCAGTTTTTTTTTTTTTTTGGTATGGGGTGCCTCTGTTGTCTGGGACTAAAAGAGTAACACAAGCAAAGTCCTTGTGATACTGAGGTCCCTAGAGGAAACGAAGAATAAAAAGTTCTAAAAAAAGTGACTGGTCAAATTAAACAAAACTTCACTACAAAAATAACTGCTGTTGCTGGGGTTCTGATACTGGAAAACAAAACAATCTTAATCCAAATCTCCATTATCAGGGCAAATCTTTTTTTCTGACAAAAGAAGTCTGCAACTTCTTGAAGAAAGTTTAAAAACACAAATTTTGTCAACTGTTCACAAGTCATGATTTAAAAATAAGAACATGAAAAATCACTTACACTGAGAGTCTGCATCTTGCAAGCTCTTTTCCAGTTTTTCTTGCAACCTGTTGCCAATTTCATTCCGAAATCATGGTCGCTGCCATGCTTGCGAAATCTGGGAGACTCTTTCTTACCAAAATGCCTGGATAAGTACCACTTGGCCCATTTACGAAACTCCACTGGCACCGAAGCCTGAAATACAAAATGTTAATGTAAAGTCTCTTTTGAAACATGCTGTTTAATTTATTCTGGCTATTAAATAAATTCTCCAAGATATCAATCAGCCTTTCTGCTACAGAAGTTAGGGCTTTTTTCCCTAGAAAAAAAAAAGGTGCCGGTACTCACAACAAAGTGTCTATTGCAGTAGTGTTGAATAAAAAGAGAGCTTTACAAAAGTGCTGGTGCTGTGTACTATTGCGTACCATCAGGAAAAAATCCCTGAAACTGTCCAACATCTGCTCTCTCCGTCCCTCTCTCTGTCTCTCTACCCCCCCCCCCCCCCCCCCCCCCCCCCCCCCCTTGAGCTTTCTCACTGTCATAAAATGTTCCAGTTGTCCCAAGTCCCAGATGGTTTCAAAAAAAAGAAACCAATTAGGCACAATAATCACAGTGAAAAAGGCACCAGTGTACGGCTTTCAAAGACATCAAATACTATGCTGCATTTTTATTTGGCCAGATATCTTTTGCATACCCAGACCAAACATGAAATAATAACACACCATGTGCTGCACAGATATACACAGACATATGCTGTGTCCACATGCTGTGTTGCCAGGGAAAGAAAGAGTTCAATATCTCAATAAAATTACAAGATCAAACTACTATAAAAACTGTTCCATTTGTAATTCTTATTCTTCTTCATGTTTACTGGCTGTAAACTCTGGCAGAAAGTTCAAGTTGATTGTCTACCTCTGGACTTTAGTCTTATTCCAGAACCTGGGTGTTGGGTGCACATCCGTTTAACAGCCCACAATTGTATGCAAATTGTTTGTTCCTCGTCTCTCAGGCAGATGCACTGTGACTTCAAAGAAATCCCCCAATTAGTCAACTCTTACAACATGCCTGTTGGGGAGACAGTGGGTCTATCCTTGTTTTCTCCACAATTGGGACCCAGAACCCACACAAGGATTCTATTTATAATTATTATAATTACCTTAAGCTGGTCTTTGGTTGCAGAATCCACAGCTTCATCTTTCTTCACATCTGAAGTTTCCTCTCCTATACGTCGGTGCCACTTGGGCAGCAAAGTCTCCAACCACAGCATATAGGCCTCCGGCACATTGGAAGTGTCCAAGGCAAAAGCATCTTGCTCGCTGTCACTGCTGGTTGATGTTGCATTTTTCAGGTTCTGGACACGCCACGTGCGAATGTAGCTCTTAGCCCATCGTCTGTGTGCAACAGGCACCGCATCCTAATAAAACCAGAACAAAAATGTATTAAAACTATCCAACAAAACATTTAATCCCTATGGGGTTCCGGGGCTGGAAAATATAAGCATTTCTTTATTTTTCTCTTCAACTCTTTCTTACTACAATGGAGCATGGGTCTGCAATCAACTTTTCATGGTTGGTTGGTTTTTGTAACTTTTTTTTTTACAGGATGAAGCAGCCAAGCCTAACCTAACCCTTAGCTGCCTCTTAGGACATGCTTCATTGGTTGTAGGGTTACTATTCGTTGCTTACCATGGGGCCCAAATAACACAGGGCATCTTAGCATTAAATACTTGTGTGTGTTTTTTTTTTATTCTGGTTATCTATACATACAAACAACATGCTCATTGTAAAAGAAAGTGTTTTTGTGTGTGTAGATACCACTGATTTTGACTGTCATAGCATGCATTGATTGGTTTTTCTATTTTTTTTTCTTGAGTCATGTCCTCTTTTTTCCAAAATTAAATGCAATCATCAAATGCCTGGCCGACTGGCATGGGCGATCATGCCTCTCCACAGTCTGCGATCCATTACTGTGTGTATCAGTTTGTGTGTTGACACCCTTCCCTGCCAGGACAAAATGCTGTCAAGAATCTTCTCACGCTGTCTTCCTCCGACTCTCTTTCCACAGATCTTTCCAGTGGTCTCTTCTCATGACCACAGAATGCTGACTGTCTCTCTCTAATGTGTGTGAGAGTTGTCTTAGAGCCGTCGCCTGATTAAAAACATCTGGGTTGCTCTTTTTAGCTGTCCAGGAAATTCTAATGATTCTTCTCTAAAACCACATTTCTGAGGCCTCAAAAATATTTTCAGCCTGTTAATTAATCATCCAGGATTCACAGCCGTACATTAAAACTGGTTCCATATAGCATGCAAGAATTTTCCTAACCTCCAATGACATGGATTAAGTGTTCTTCATTTTATAAAATGCAGTTTTGGCCTGTTTTATTCTCTTCTTTATCTCTGTGTTACATCTTCCATCAGACGTTATCCATGTGCCAAGATACTTAAATTTCTGTACTTGTCCTTAAATAACATCTTTTGACTTTTATGAATTTAGGCACTATTCTTTTCTTGGAAATTACCATTACTTCTGTCTTCCCATTATTCAAACTGAGGCCCGTTTATCACTTTCTACCACCACCGTATCTATTAATTCCTGTAGTTTTGACTTGTCACTATTTGCAATATGAATTTAGTACATAATTATTACTGCACATTAAAAAGGCATCACTAGCTTAGTGTTAAAAAAAAAAATAGGTTAGTGCACCGCAGTATTTGCATGTTTATAGCAGAAAAACAAGTACTTACTCTCAAATTTCCTTTCCAGCCATCTTTTCCATGGTGTCGTTTTCCGTGCCGCCCTTTTCCATGATGATGGCCAAAGTGGTGTCCAAAATGGTGATCAAAGTGAAAGGGTGAAGGCCCTTCAAAAAGGCCAGGTCCACCAAATGCTCCGGACATTCCCATGTGATGACCCTGAGGACCAAGTGATGCCCACGAGGTCCCATGTGTCCAAAGAAATGTCCACGAGGTCCCATGTGGCCAAAGAAATGTCCACGTGGTCCCATGTGGTCAAAGAAATGTCCACGTTGGCCCTGGCGGTCAGGGTGATGCCCATCATGCCCATGGTGGTGTCCACGAGGATTCGAATGATCAGGGTGGCCTCTCTTTCTTCCTGCACCCATCCTGTCCCAAAATTCCATTGGGTTACCAAACTCAGAACATGGTGGGGATTGACGGAAATGCCTTCTCATGAACCCTGGGAAGGATTCACCACCATCACATGCATCATCTTTCTTGCTTTCCCCAGCACTGCCTTCACCCTCGTCCACATCTTGACCCTGGTCTGACATTATGTCCACAAAGTCTTCGGGGCCATTTTCTTTCATGCCATCAACTGAAAGAAAGAAATAATACAATAATTAAAGGAAAGAAATAATGCATGATTAATCAAAGCGCTATTTGTCCAAATGTCATTATTTGTATTTACTTTTTTTGGATTTAGGACAAAGAGTTATGTCTGTCCGTCACTACACACCACTTTTTTAGGGAAGTGTAAAAGGGTGGGGGGGGGGGGGGGGGGGGTCTGAGGAGTTAGGGCAGTTAGTTAGTTAGTTTAGTTAGTTAGTTGGGTTATCATTGCACTCCGGACATGTCCTTAGGTGCTCAGATCCTCCCCTCAGTATGAACCCCAACGTCCGATGGCTAATAGTACCAGTTCTATGTTGATTAACAAGTCTTCTGACGTGTCCGGTGTGCGTCTCGTTTTTTGCTGTGCCGATCTTAATTCCCAAGTCTGCCATTCTGGCGAGTGATGTGGATTCACTGCCACCAAAGTCCTCTATCCTTCCCATTTCTCTGAGGGCATTGATAATATCAGCATGATCCATAGGCCGACCGTCGGAGTTAGGGCAGTTATATACAATGTTTATCATCATTATCTAAAATATTATTGTCCTGTTCACACATTCTGGGTTGTAATTATGACAGATACTGTACAATAAATATTTACATTATCTTACTAACAATATGTGTTAAAACAGTGTTTTAATTATGTCCTTGGTATAGCTGTTGATCTTTAAAGTGACCTCGTGAATGAGTGAAAGAATGAACTAACCATGCCAAATACTTACCAGTAATGAAAAGTTTCAGTGTCTGGTTCTCAGCGTGACCAATGGCCTCTAGCATCTCTTCATCAGTGGACATCACAACAAGATCTCCATCTGAGTCTGAAAGTAGAATTACACCAGTCAGTTATGTTATGAGTCAATTCTTCTTTGTCTGCGTCCACCATTAAAATGGTAGCTGGCATTCTGTGTTGTGGTTTGCAGCTAAAATGTGATACCTATTATGTTCTTCTTCTTCTTCAGCATTCCGAGCCCTTCAGGTTCATTGCTGCAGATATCACCCGCCTCCATTTAACTTTCTGGTTGGCCATCTTTTACCATTTGGTGACACCAAGTGTTTACCTATTATGTTAGCAATTGTAAATGAATCAATAAAATATACTGTGTTTAGACAAATTAAATACTGTGAAGCTCGCGTAGTTGAATAATGACAAGTATGGAACTAGCTTTTGTACTCAATTACAAATTTTTAAAAAAATGTTCTTCACATTAGGCAACTGAAAATGACGTAGTAGGGAGTGACCAGGAGAATCGGTTGACACTCAATACTCAGAGGAACATGAACATTTTAACTTTTCGCCGACATTTTGAAGATGAACATACAGAGCTGATGGGAATGTACCGAGTGCTGTGATACAGTTCTTAACTAAACTCAACTCGCAAAGCTTTCGGCGTAAAACATTTGATTCCAGCATACCCTTGATTATTCACCTCTAATTCCATGTTAACTCTCTTTCCCAAGCAACGCACTATATGTGCTCAGCTTATGTCTGTCTCTATCGACTCAACACATGGTGCAATATTAGTTATTTCATGTTTGGTCTGGGCATGCAAAATAAATCTGGCCAAATACTGTAAAAGCCACAAACTGATGCCTCTTTCAGTGTGATTATTGTGCCAAATTAGCATTCTACTTTGAAACCATCTGCGACTGAAACAGTAAGGGAGCATATATCTGTCCTTTCTTTACCCCAAATGGGTCAAAACCAACACAATGATATTAATAATGTATAAATTATTGTCAGAAATTAACTTCTTTGTGTAGCGTTTACCGACTATAAGTTCGAGCTGAAAGTTCTGCTTGTTCATCCACTTCTGGACTTTAGTCTTGTAAAACTTAAGTTTTGTGTGGACCCATTTTTCACATCTAGTTTACTTGTAAGCAGACTGCTGGTTCCTTGCTGCTTATGAAATAACTGCTCAGGCAGATGGGCTCCAACTTCGGAGGAAAAATCACCTTTTATTACAAGCTTGTTAGGGTTGCAGTTTGTCTTTTTTCCCCCAAAAATAGTCATGGACATGGACCCCCCCCCCCCCCCCCCCCGCTGAGAGCAAAGTGTCTCCCACATTAGAGCAAAGTGTTCTTAACTGTCTGAGCAAGCCGCTCCTCAAAATAACCACTGAATGACTAAAACCAATATTTTTTGCATATGATTCATTACCTTTCCACTTTAGGGTGAATCTTTTGTTTTCAAGACTTGGAAAAACATTGCCCACTTTTGATGCAATATCTCTAAAGATGCCATTGTTGTTGTCTTGACCAGTCAGTGCTATAGGGATTCTTCGCACTTCCACAGTGCCATCTTCTCTCTGCAGGTGAGCTTTCACGATTATATTCATGGTGTGGTTTGTTTTTCACAAAGTATTCTTCCAAATCTGTAATCAAAAGAGAAAATCAGAATATAAAATGTTTATGTTTGAAACTTACTGCTTCCCTTTTTTTTTTAGACATTTAGTGGTGAATACCGGAAGTCTTTTTGTTTTCTTTATGTGTGTGTGTGTGTATAACACATACATATATTTACGTAAATATATATACACACATAAACATATATATATTTTTTGTAACACCAGGTACAGAGGTATTTTTGTACATACATACATACCACACATACATATATATATATATGTTTGTGTGTATGTATATATACACACACACACATATATATATATATATATATATATATTTATATATGTGTGTGTGTATACACATACATATATGTACAAATATATATATTCACATACACACAAACATATATATGTACACACACACACATTCAAAACGTGGATAGAGGAAAAGCAAATGGCAGTTAAAGTGATTTCTGGATACTTATAAAAAACAATCAGGAAACAGCAGTTACAATGTCAGAGTATGTCAATTACGGAGCAGTAGCAGTTTTCACACACAAATCCTGCTGAACTCTCAGGGTTATAATTGGGATATAAAGTATTAATTGGGTTAGGATGACGAGAGGCAAACTGAACTTGTTTCACATGGGGGAAATAAAGACAAGATCAACAAAGGAAGTCTCTGTAGTTTAGGACGCTTATATTACCTCTGTATTGTGTGGCCCTTACATTACCTGTGTAAAGTTGGTTTCCTTACATTACCTGTGTAATGTTGGTTTCCTTACATTACATATGTAAGGTGTGGTCCTCACATTACCTGTGTAAAGTTGGTTTCCTTACATTACCTCTGTAAAGTAGGATGCTTACATTACCTCAGTAAAGCAGGACTATTACATTACCCTCTATAATCTAGGGCCTTTACATAACTTTTGTAATGCAGGACTCTTACATTAACTCTGCAATGAATGACCCTTCCATTATCTCCGCTATTTAGGGCCATTATATTACCTAAGTCACACAGAAGCCTTATACTGCATAAGTAATGGAAGAGATCCAGCTGGCTCCTGGGTAAGTCCCTTTTGTCAAATGTTTGGGAAAATGACGTTAAAAAAAAAAAGGTAAAGTCTGGAGATGTGAACCAGCCTCACTGCACACGGTTATAAACCATAAGTGCTCTGCCACCAGTACGGACAGCTGATAAGAAATTGTCTGCCTGTGTCGCCGTCGTCGGCACGTAACTCCGTAGCTACAGCGATGTTCCTCCATTTACCCCAGAGTGTCAACTCTGGTACCCATTTCCTAAAGGCTGGGTGAACCCCGGGAACTGCCAGGTTTTGAACACCGGCTATGGGCTGCAGCGAGTCGCAGTTGGATTTGAAAGGGAGTCTCCTATCGACTACGCTAACGCATGAATGTGAGTAATTTATACTTTTGATCAGACAGCTAAAGAATAATGTATTCATAGATATTTTTTTCGAGAAACAAAAATACGTGATACTCACTACAAAGTGTCTATTACTAAAGCAAAGAAAAAATTTATGCATAAAAGAGGTGCCAGTACTGTGTCAGGAGAAACAAATACCTCGCTGTACCTGTGTAAAACAAATCTAAAATCTGACAGTTTAGATGGGCCTGATACACGAAAACAAGTAAAATGTATATAATTTACAGCAATGGTACTTCATCCAACAGTACCAACTGACCAACACAGACTCAGTGATCCAACGACCAGGGCTCAAGGCTGCCAGTGGGATTTTTTTGAAAAACCCAGCTAAGCAATAAATAAATACATAAGCAAAGAACAAAAAACAAAATAAACAACCCAGATGGTCAAAAAGTACAAGTTTTATAGTTACGAAACGAAATATTTACCCATTTTATATAAGGATTTATTGTGTTTTTAAAAAAAAAAGCAGATTTCAAAATTTGAACCCAATGCGTAAAATAAAAACCCAGATTTGGGGTAAAAAACCCATCATTGGCAGCCCTGTGACGAGAGGACACACTGTATATGGAACTTCGATTCTAAAGTTTCCCTGTGCGAGTTCCTGGGCTCTCACTATGGGGGAAACAAGAATATACCGGCACTCTTCCGAATACCGGCCCCATATTATTCAAAGACAAAAAATCCCATTCTTAACGCGCAGATGTGGAAACTGATGATGATCTACGTATTGTACCATTTTTTGTTGTACCATATTTTGTATAACCTCTTTAAAACCCCTTGACCTCTTTGTAACCTCTTGAACCCTTTGAGGCTCTAACAGGAATGTTTTGGACAGCAAATAATATGGGGCCGGTATTCGGAAGAGTGCCAATATACCCACTGCCTCCCCAACAAGCATGTCGTAGAAGTCAACTAATTGGGGGCTCCCTTCGAGGCCGGAGCGCAGGTGCCCGAGCGACAAGGAACACCTAACTGCACATAAATTAGCCAGTAAAATGGATGTACACTTAAAACGCAGGTCCCTGACAAAACCAAAGTCCAAATGGACAAACAGCCAGGACTTTCTGCCGGAGTTTACATTTCGTTAATGATTTGATTCTGTTTAACTTATATATAAACTATATAAATGTTGCTAAAATATTACATTATTATATACAAAAACAACATCAAATTTATAATAGAGTTAAGGAATACGATGTTCGTACCGCTTCTTTAGACAGAGCAAATGCACAGCAACCAAGTGATACCGCCCTGGCAGGTCTGCTGTTTGAACTCTCTTTGTTTCTATTTATATTTATGAATATCAAATACTGTACTCACGTGAATTCGTCTTTATTGTGTCTTCTGCAATCGCTGGCAATAACTTGTAGATGACAAATGTTTCGTCCTTCGCAGGTGTTCGGCTGTCGTCTCGGTAAATAGGAGTTAGCGAGCTGCGTCGTTGATCTGCCTGCGCGGCTGCTTGCAAGCCTTATATACCAGACGCCTGCGTTGCTCGAATGACGCAAGTCGTCTGCAAAACGTCGCATGACTCAACATCGCATGACTTGTCTTTTTTTTCTTCCAGAACAAAAACAAAAATTGCAGTGATCACGCAGTAACTGCGTGGCTGGAGTTTCGTAAGTTTCTAAATTTAGCCGAGGGGGCATTTCAAAAGTCTGTTAACTGAATACTAGTTATCTAAATCTATGTAGAAAATATACATCATTTTCAATTTCTGATGCTCCTTTATGCCTAGAGCTGGGTACCCCCCCCCCTTTTTCCCTGACCTGTAGTTGGGGGAGGGGTGAGTATACGTGAGTATACAACGTGTACCAACCAGTACTTTCCAGCAGAGCTTACGGTCGGCGGTTTATTTATAGGAGCAGAAAAAGAGGAAGAAGAAGAAAAAAGTATATTTTTCGGTAACTATTACTACTATATGCCTGAAGCCGCCGTGGTGTAGCGGCTAAACGCTCGCCTGCGGATGGGAATGTCGTGGGTTCGGGTCTTGAGGGAGTCAGACTTTTTTTTTTAATGACCTTGGTTCCCTGGTAGACCCAGCCTTGGGAGGGTATCAGGTATTTATAATTAATTCAATTGTCTTCTGGCACTGGCAGAATACGTGGGGATTTGACGTTTGCTGAATGCTGTCAATTGTTTTTATAAAAGTTTCTAGTATGTTTCCTGTTTAGTGATGATAGTAGTGAAATCCTGCTAAGAAGCTGACCCATTTTCACACAGTATGTCTCAGTAAGTTGCTGAACATAAAATGGCCAAAACAGGATTCCCTGACACTGAAGTCCTTGAAAGAGCTGGTCTGTCCAGTATTTACTCAATTCTAAAACAACTACAACTTCGCTGGGCAGGTCATATTGTCCGCATACCTGACCACCGACTGCCAAAAATAATTTTATTTAGTGAGCTACTAAAAGGAAAACGCTCTTAAGGAGGACAGAAGAAACGTTCCAAGGAGAGCCTAAGGGTCTCACTGTAGAACTTCTGTATTGATCCTCAAACCTGGGAAGCCGATGCATGAGACCGCTCATCCTGGCGCTCCTCTCTTCATCGAGGAGCTGTAGCCCATGAAGCTGCTAGAACTGCAGCAGCAATTCACAAAAGACAAGCCAGGAAAGACACTGAAGCAAATCACCAGAGAGATGCGGCTTCTATTCCTTGTCCATATTGCTCAATCACGCCCATCTTCAGTCTATTTATATCTAAAGATGGCCGTGGCTCAATCAAGAACTTTCATTGCTAGATGTGGCCTATTCAACCATCTGCGCACTCACAAAACCTAACCCAGTCACCATTGGATGAAAGGACTGGTCATCATCACTTCTGATGGACGAACAACAACAACAGTGAAATCATTTCTTTTTCTGGCTTTGATTATAATTTTATTCCGGACTGATTGGCACCTTTCCGTCATTCCAGACGATAGTGTTATATTGCGCTGTGAGGAGGCATGAGACTCACAGCCCACGGCGACGGCGAGTGCCACTAGCTTTGCGGATTAAACGTGTGGAATTTGTGGTAACTTTTTTTAAAAGTGATATTATCTTTTTTTTAACGTACACCCGCTGCTAACTCTAGCGGAAAACTGTTTTTTTTTTCCTCCACTCCTGGACTTCAATCCTAATTCTGAACTTGAGTTTTTTGCTCATTCGTGGTTTTTTTTTTTTTTTTTTTTTTTTTTTTTTTATAGATGGCTTATTTGTATGCAGACTGTTGGTTCCTTGTCTCTCATGCAAATGCACTCTGGCTTTGAAGGAAATACTCTAATTAATCGCCTACTACGACATGCATGTCAAAGAGGCAGTGGGTCCATTCTTTGCTCTCCAGAACGGAGCCCGAGAACCCACACGGGAGACATCTTGTTGAACCTTCATGTTTATAATTGGGACATAAAGTGTCTTCATAGCAGAATTTTTTTGGGTGCCTTATTAATATCCTACCCCAAACATGGGAAATCCACAGGTCTAATATTTCAGAGGGTGGTAGATAGGCTGCATGTAGTCGAGGGACCTAGCCTGCATGCAATTGTGGGACCTAGGCTGCACTC